GCGGAGCCAAGTAGAAACCCACTAACACCCACATCCTGATGGTAATTTTAGCCCTGCGAGTATTCAGCCCTCTGTTTAGATAAATATCCCTTGCCAGTGAGAGGAGGCTGAGCCAGCTGCATCCAGCGGGATCAGGGCTTGCTGTAAATCCCGATCCAGTTCAATAATTAGCAGTTTTATCTGCTGTTTTAATCGTCAGAGCGTGAACTCTGGCACAGCGGGGACACTCCTGAGCCCTGGGTCAGCAGGACGTGCCCCTGGCGCTGCCTCTCATTAGGAGGGGCCACGGATGGCATGTTTTCCTTGGCATCCTCCCTCTTTGCTCGCTGCTGGAAAGAGCAAAAGCTTCCTTGGAAACTCCTATTGACATTGTAGAATCACAGAACTCCCTGAATTGGAAGGGACCCACAAGGAAATCACTTCTTGCTTTAGTTTTCCAACCCCTGGCCCTGCACAGGACACCCCAACAATCCCACCCTGTCCCTGAGAGCGTTGTCCAAACACTCCTGGAGCTCTGGCAGCCTTGGGGCTGTGCCCACTGCCCTGGGGAGCCTGTTCAATGCCCCACCACCCTCTGGGGGAAGAATCTTTTCCTGATATCCAACCTGACCCTGCCCTGGCACAGCTCCAGCCCTTCCCTCGGGTCCTGTCACTGGTCACCAGAGCTCAGTGCTTGATCCCTTAGTAATTCTGTGCTCCAGGAAACCTCCTGTTCCTCTAAAGACACCAAAGCATTTCCCTTTGGCTGTCCCAAGGGGGATTCCTTTGCACGTGCCACATGCCTGCCATAAAAATAAACTCGAAATTTGGTATTTTTGATGGGATGGGAGGATCTGGTGAAGTCAGGTTCCCCACACACAATCCCAAGGGAACACACACCGGGAGAAGACGGACCACATCCCCTGGAGACCCCGGAGTGATCAAGTACATCCTAGTGGAAGGTGTCCCTGCCCATGGCAGAGGGGTGGAATGAGATGGGCTTTAAGGTCCCTTACAATGCAAACCACTCCGGGATTCTGGGATTCCACGATTCTGGTTTTGTGTTCCCGACGCCGCTTCCCTTGTCTCCGCTCCACGAGCTCAGGAGGAGCCGCCAAACCAGAATTGCTTTCCTGCCAGCAGGAATCATGTGTGCACCCCCTGCTCCAGCGCCCAGGCTGGGAGGAACAGCCCTGCAGTGTTCCCTGTCCAAGCCTCTCCGTGTTCCCGTGTCCCAGCCCCGCAGTGCTCCCTGTCCCAGCCCCGCTGGCACATTCCCAGGAGCGCAGGGCTGGGACAGGTCCCGGCTGCGGGACCGGCCCGACGTGTGTGAGCAGGAGCTGCTCTGTGTCACCCGGGCGTGCCGGGACACGGCTCCCGGAGCACCGGGGACGGGACGTGGGCGAGCGCTGCGCTTCCAGAGGGGTTGTCCAGGGCTGGAGTTTCACTGATTGGAATTACAGGGAGTGTCCCGAGAGAACACGGAGTTGTAAACTCGATGATGCATCACAGAATCACAGGGTGGTTTGGGTTGAAAGGGACCAAAAGGATCATCCAGTGCCACCCCCTGCCACGGGCAGGGACACCTTCCACTTTCCCAGGTTGCTCCAAGCCCCGTCCAACCTGGCTTTGGACACTTCCAGGGATCCAGGGGCAGCCACAGCTTCTCTGGGTACCCTGTGCCAGGGTCTCACCGCCCTCACAGTGCAGACCCACCATGCCCAGACAGGGATTTGTCCCCACACATTCCCGGCTCTCTCCCGGTTCCCCGCGGCCGGTGCCGGGCGCGGTCCCAGCCGGCTGCTGCCCCTTTAAGGCTCGCCCCGCCCCCCGCGCGCGCCCCGCGCTGACGCGCGATCGCGTGGCGCCTCTCCCCACCGCGGCCCCGCCCCCCGCCCTCTCCCACCAATCAGCGCCGAGGCCGCGCCCCCTCCCTCCTCCTCCCTCCGCCCCTCGCGGGGCGCGGCACCGCCTCCCGCGCACGCGCGGCGGGCGGGCGGG